GTGAAACTATAATCCCTTAGTCATTATGATTTGATCAATTATGAGATATGGATATGTGTCAATCTCAATTATCGATAATATCTTTCATCCCACTATTAAGTCAATATAAGTCGAAAACTTCTTTTCGACTTATAAGTACACTTTGGTCAAGAATTTCATTATCAACTCAATTGAATGAAATGTAGATCATAATATCTTATTATCTAAGAGTGTTGAATCGTTTATTGACCATTCACAACCATCATATGACTCTTAACATACTCGAAAGATGCCGTATAAGCGACTATTGGCAGAGCAACACCAACATCACCAAAGTATGACCGTCATCATATATGGCACTATGATGACCTCAAGACAAATGATCAATTTCACTACTGAACGTTAGAGATTAACCACTGACACTTAAATAGTTATCCATATGAAATTTCTCAGCGGATCTCTAATATTTTATTCTATAACAAAACATTAACGTGTTCATTCAAGTGTCACAACATTTTAACTTGTGAGAACGACTATTTACTTCATAAGAAAGAAATGTCACACGTGACGGTCTATCCGTAATAACAATACTTGCATCTCATTATTACATACGATTGCAAACGATTTAAGATTCAGTCATATTCAATTTGTATCTCACAATCACAACTCCTTGTTGTGATTAACAAATCGCCAAAACTTGAATCTACGAATTATATTATTTAATTTATTAGAATATTAATTCAATTAAATAATAGATCTTGCCATAAATATGTATCGATTATATATATTTTAAAAATATTTATCTTCAAAGTTGATTAAAAATAAGGCATAATAACACTTACAACATGTACATGTGCGCACAAGAGATGCTTAGCTTGGTGAAGGTTGTTGAGTTTTGGATGTTACGCTTCACCCACAGCCTCTCCTTTTCTATGAATAAAACTCTTTAAACATCCATTATACTTCTTATATCAATACTCTTGCAAAAACTTTCCAAAAAATCATTCCAAAAACATTTTTTTTTTATAGAAAGAATAATTTGTTCAAGTGCTACTACAAGTAAGTAATTCGTTGTATCTTGCGATACAATTATCGTTACTCCGTTAACACAGTTGAGGGGCAAGTTTTTCTTAGGGAAAGAGCGTTTTCACCGGCACCAGATCAGTATATATATATATATATACCCAGCCATATTTCGTATTCTCAATTTCCTCCTTTTTCCGTTTTCTCCTTTCTCCTCCACTTTTGAGAGTTTATATAGTGTGAGGGACCATAAAGTTTAAGAAGATTTTGTGCAATCAGATAAATGAAACGTCGCCAGATTGGCAAGACAAGTTCTTCTCGTATAAAGATTTGAAGAAACAGCTGAAATTGATTTATCCCAAAAAAGGTTCGTGCAACAATCTTGAAAATAATGACTTTAATTGAAGGCCAGATAAACGGTCCAGATTGAGTGATGATGAAAAGGACATTGGAGATTGTGTGGGCGGACGTGGTGATGACGGGGAGGAAGTGATCTAGGAAGCAATTGATTTTCTGGAGCTTTTGAAAAAGGAGATCGAGAAATTTAACGTGTTCTTCGTCGATAAAGAAGAGTTGTACATTATTAGATTAAAGGTATTGCCTTTCCTTATTATTATTATTATTTATTATTTTTTGGCATTGTATTATTATTTTTATGTTTTATGGGTATTCTATTTTTCCATGTTTTTGGTATTATTGCTGCAGGTTTTGGATAGATTATGCGTTTTAGGAATCAATAGCCTGCAGCAAAAAGAGGAGAAAGAAAAGGAAAGAAAATATGTG